GAGCTTCAAAGAGTCTCCGGTCCCCATCTTACCCAGTACAGGCTTACGCCACTCTGCCCAGCCTTTGCACGAGTTCTGGAGATCTTAACTGGTGTCCTCACACTTGCATGGGAGACACTTTACTGACTGAGCCACCCCCAGGCTTTTTCCTATTCTTCATGGTCATCTGGCAAGTAGATGAGAGTTATACTAGGATTTTAATTTGCATTTCCCTGATGACTAATGATGTACACATATCTTTTTAGGGACTTCTGGTCATTCATATATTCTTTGGGGAAATACTGCTCAAGTACTTTGTCCACTTTCTAACTGTCAGCTCTAACTGTCACTGAGATGCAGGGTTCCTTGGCAGTCTTGGTCAACTACATAAACCCTAACTCCAAATACAAGACTTGTAAGTGGTGGGAGACTCCTTTAATCCAGCATCTAAGAGGGAGAGGCAGACAGATCTCTATGAGTTCAAGGACAGCCTGATCTACATAGTGAGTTCCAGGATGGCCAGGGCTATGTAGAGACCCTGTCTCAAAAAAGAAAAATAAAAAGATAAAATGTTTATTTTATAAGAGATCTTTATTATAAGTATCATTCAAGTTTTTTCCCTTTAAATTATGGAAGCTGTCAGGCAAAGTAGGATTTGATTGGCACCATTAGACCCTTCTTCCCAGCAGCCCACAGACACAATTTTCCAGAGTGGTACTTGAACAACTTGCCCTAGGCTGGGCCAGGACAGAGGAGGTGGAAACTGCTATAGTCAATCTTCCCTGATTCCCAGACTGAGAAGAAGGTTGTCAGGAACACATGGCCTCCTCCACTCCTGAAGTTTTACCAGAGACAGCCAACTTAAGCAACCCCCATTTTCATGAAAATTGCATAAACTGCCAATCAAGTAGCCACTCCTACTACAATTCTGTAAACTGACAATCAAGCTGTTTTCATATCCCTCTGGCTGCTAAGACTTCAATCTCCCAGAGGAAAACCAAGCCAGACATAGTCATTCCCCAAGGACTTTGCTCTGGCCAGAGGGAACCATACACCTGTCAAGGCCACTAACCCAACAAGGCTTTACCTGAGAGAACTTGGTTTCTTGAAGCCACATCAGCACAGGGATGCCCTTTAGATAACCAAGACCATGGCTACTAATCTGGACTTCATTACAAGGGACCTCATAGCAGCAAATCCTCAACCCAGTCAGGGAAGAACTCTGCCCCAACCTGGGCCAGCTTGTAGGACTGACTGGCCAGCTAAGAAAGGTATGCTCTCCCTCTCCAGCAGCAGTCTGCACCTTGCTCCCCTGTACTGTCCCTGAATGCTGCAGCACAGGCCCCAAGAAAGCTTCCTTGCAGTACTCTTATTGCCCAAGAGTAGAGGGAGCTGAGCTGAAGAACAGGGAACTCCCAGGGCTGCCAGCTTTCCACACCCAGTAGCAGCTAGCAGGTGGCAGTGGTCTCTCATGGCCAAGAACAGAGACTAAGAACAAAGATGAAGGACTGGGGAATGCTGGGAAAGCGTCAGACAGCAGAGTGCAGACTGCAGAAGGTGAAGAGCTGTGAAGAGCAAGAACAGAAACTACAAAAGGCAGGAGACACAGGGAGCTGGGACTGTGGAAGAGCAGACCTCAGGCTTCGGGAGTTTAAGGAAGAGCTGCTGGTTAGTTGCTGCTGTTAAGAAGAAGCTCAGAGGGGTTGGGGATTTAGCTCAGTGGTAGAGCGCTTGCCTAGCAAGCGCAAGGCCCTGGGTTCGGTCCTCAGCTCTGAAAAAAAAAGACAAAATAACAAAAAGACCAAAAAAAAAAAAACAAGGTAAGAAGAAGCTCAGAGAGATAAACCTGAGAGCTAAGGGTCCCTCCACACACCGAGCCACTTACCTAAAGTTGTGACACTAAGAATGAAGGCTACTAGGTGTCTCCCTCGAAGACAAGAGAAAGTCAGTAAGCATAGGAAACAAGCAGCCAGCACTCCCAACAGACTGGATTTGACCACTGAAATTTATAGCACACTCCATGCAACCGCAGGACACACTTTTTTCTGAAGTTTCCCTAAAACATTTGCCAAGATACACCACATCCTGGGACACAACACGAGTCATGGCAAATTTAAAACAGTTTAAGGCCTGGTAGAGTGCTTATTCAGCATGTGTGAAGCCCTGGGTGTGATGCCATGCGCTACGTAACTCAGGTGTGGTGGGACACGCCTGTAACCCCAGCACTTGGGTAGTGGAAGCAGGAAGGTGAAGTTCAAGATTCCTCTGTTACAGAGCAAGTCAAAGCCAGCCTGGCCTATATAAGGTCCTGTCTAAAGATAATTAAACAAAAAGTAACCATGACGGTTTGTCAATGAGACCGGCTCTTTCATCACCTGGGAGACAAGACCCTGGGCATGCCTGTGAGGGATTATCTAGATTCACTTAATTGAAGAAGGTCTTCCTACCCTCACTGTGGGCGGCATCACAGGCTGAGGTCCTGGACCGAAGAAAAGGAGACCACGAGCTAAGCAGCAGCATCCATGGCTGACCCCTGATAACAACACAGCACGTCAGCCACCATCACTCCCTACCAGAGTGCTCTGTGTCCTGGAACTGTGAACGAGATAACGACCCTTCTTCACCTTTTGATGGATTGTGTCCAGGTATTTCTACCACAGCAACAAAAAAAGTACCCAGCACATTAAGTCCTCTGTTCATAAAGATATTAAATGTAAAGTTGTTGTTTACGGGGCAGGAAAATGAAGTAACAAAACAATCCTAGCCTGTCCCTTCTGCTGCTTGTGAACCTGGTGAGGACATACCTCACTGTGGCAGTTAAAACATTCACAGGAGCCGGGCGGTGGTGGTGCACGCCTTTAATCCCAGCACCTGGTCTACAGAGTGAGTTCCAGGACAGCCAGGGCTGCACAGAGAAATCCTGTCTCAAAAAAAAAAAAAAAATTCACAGATCTTCAATGAAGAGGCTTGCCTAGCTGAAGTTACCTTGAAGTTCACAGTGGAGACTCCCTTCTGTAGCCCATCCTAAGCCCCAGGGCCTCACCTGTCAACTCTACCTCAATCAAGGCAAACCTGTTTGATATCTAACGTCTTCCAGACAGCCAGGGAAAGCAGGTAAAGAGGAGAGAATGGAGAGAATGGAGGGAGGAATTTGTGGAACATGCCGCCAAAACCTGCACAACATAGAGACTGTGGCCATCACTGAAACCTGCGTCACAGGGCAAACTGGGGAGGGACAGATCAGAACCTTCCAGGAACTCCAGATCCCAAGAGGAAACTTCTAACACAACCCCCACCCCCACCCCCCACAACAGCAACCCAACGGCTCTAATACAGGTCCTCAATGACCTCATTGGTCAGTCTGGAAAAACCCCACTACTATGAGCCAAAAGCATCCAGGAATGAGTCATATGGCTATTTATCTCAAAGCCCTTTTAATGGCACAATAGCACGTCAAAGCAATAAGCAAAAGGCAACAAGAATCTTGAGTAACCATCTCATATCCAAGCTCCAGTGCCCCTGCGAATCTACAAATTTGCATTAAGATCGGAATCACCCAGGCAGTATGTGTGTTAAAAACAAACTCCTGGGGCTCCTGCCAGATAACATCACAAGACTCTCCAGAGATGGGGCTCTTCATTTTCAACCAGAATTACCATAGATAATTCTTAAGCTGCAACTGAGGCATCTGGAAGGCAGTATTAGAGTTAAAGGCACATTTGCTTTGAAAAGAGATAGGGGGGTTAAAAATCCTAACAGCCACTCACTAGTTGACACTGGCCAATTCCATAAACTGGGATCACCAGTGACTCAGAGGTGTTGTCTGTACCCAGTATCCAGTTCAAAGCACCCCCGAAACGGTACCCAGCACAGGACAGCCACCCAAGCAATCAGAACTACTGCTTAGCAAAACAGCAACAGAAAACGGCCCCACTGAGGCACTCCATCATGTTTTCTACTTAATGGAAATTACAAAGGCACTGGGCCAGATTTCCAAAACAATCTCACGAAAAAGCTTTTCTGGGCACTATGATGGCCAAGAACAAAGACTCATTTCAGAGTCCAGCTTTTCACCCAGCAGCCCTCAGTTCCACAGTCCCCCGATCAGGTCCCTAGGCCCCAAGCAAAGAAGAGTCTTTCCCTTCTAAGTCCCTGTATCACCATTTCTAGCTGCAGGGCTGACAGTCACTGAATGTGGCGTGATATGGAGTGACACGGTATAGGTAGAGGTGTCTGGATAATAGGCAGGGAGCAAGGAAGGGGCCCTGGTTCTCTGCGAGGCTCCTTGGCTCAAGGCGGATAGGCCAAATCTGATTGACATGGCTGGATTTAAGAAATGTGACCCTGATTATAGTCAACTCTACCAATAACTCAAACACATCTCCGGGAATGTCTTGGCCCACCAAAAAAAAAAAAAAAGTGGAAGAACACCCCTAACCGGCTGTTAGAAGAGAAACAAAGGAGATTCAGGCACATGCTGGGACCATATACTGCTATCCTTTACACCTGGAAGACCCAGAAGTAAGGATGGCTCAGCTATGCTGGACAGTCCAAGTCGGGAGTCGAGAAGAAAGAGGAAGAATCCCCCACCTATTGCTAACCTGGGGAAAGACTAGGCCAGCAAGACAAAGGCCAGAGTCTCTCCAACTCCACTATGTCGCTGGGGCAAGTCAGAATACACACAGGCCTCAGTTTCCCAATCCGTACAAGGGGCAAAGAGGTCCTTAATTACACAGTGACCACAAGGTACACTAGAGAGGGTGAAGGCTTGCGTGGCGTTAGCGGGTAGGTGGGAGGGGCGGGGCTGGGGCGACCGGCAAGGACAGCCTCCCACCCTCCATCCCTCCCACCACGCTGCAGGGGCGCGGGCCGGCGGGGAGTCACGCGCCCATTGCGCCCAATCGCCGGCCGAGGCCAGGAAACTGGCCGGCGGAGGGCCTCTGAGCTCGCCGGCAACGCCCCCAGCACGGTCCGCCGCTGCCCGCCGCCGCCCGAGACCCTCTCCAGCGGCGCTCACCTACCGGAGCCGCCACCACCGCGGGCACTCAGCCGCCGCCCGCACTTCCGGGAGCCACGAGCCCCGCCTCTACCGGATGTGACTTCCTCCCGCGTCCTGCCGGGAGGGAGCCGCACTGCCCCTCTGCCGCGCCCCGGGCGCCCTGCCTTGTGGGCCTCGAGGTGGCCACGATACCGGCACTCATACGCTAGTGGCTTCAGGCGCCACACCCGCGAAAGGCCACTCGGCCCCACCCGCGCGGGGAAGGCCCCACCCCCTAACCCCGCCCCCTCATAGGACTCCGCCCATTGCGAGTGCGCCTGCGCGAAGTTGCAGGCCTGCCTTCGTTTGATGTAGTTTTGGGTATCCAGAGACAAGCGTGGAATTTCCAAAGGGAGGATCCAAATGATCTAGTCTTGCACCACGGTATCCCTGGCCTGATGTGCATACTCCTTTTTTATAGTTTGGCCCTAGGACTAGAATGGCTGCAGTCCTGAGTGCCCGCTTCAGACCCTGCAAACAGCTGAGTCGTTTTCCTAAAAGTCACCCTTTGTCAGGACCTTAGTCGTCTGTAGATGGGTAGTTCTGTGTAAGCATCAGACTTGATCCATCCTCACTCGCCCAGAGTGACAAGCCCCAGGAAGGGATGGGAACAAACCAGGCCTAAGAGGTGAATAATATTCCCCTTTGGCCACAGTGATTATGGGGACGCTGGAAGATTAGTTTCCAGCCTAAGAAAACCATGCCACTCTTTGTTATACATTAGAACTTTTGCTAGTGACAGAGACCAGCACAAATTGGCTTCTGCAAAAAGGTAATTCCTGAGTCATACAACGAGAAGTCCAGAGGCCCTAGTGATACCAGCCCCAGTGTCATGCAAGGCCTCCTCCTTCACTTGAACCTGACTTGTGTCCACACAAAACAGCTCTCATCTCAACAGGAATGAGAGACACTTTGTTCTGAGCCAAGTAAGAGTGACCATGACATGAGACACAGATTTATGTTGCCTTAAATAACATGTTCCAATGTAGAAATGCTTTTGTGAAGTTTGTAAAGTAACAGAACAAGGCCTACACTAAGGCATTTTTTCAAATACGTTTCTGGGACCATCAGGTAAGTGGGTAATGAGAAATTGGGGGAAATCTCTGCTTGGGTCTGAGATGCTATCTGATTACACTTTAGCTTTAGGGTCTGCTGAGTGAGTGCATCCCAAAAGGTTTACCCGATAATCACATTGATCTGAGGTCAGGCACAGAAGTCAGCAACAGTTATTAAGGAGACTAACGATAATTATGAGACAATTTGACCCTGAATCTACAACATCCCAACTCTCCACAATCAAGAAGATCTAATCAGTCATCAGCCCTATAAACAGAGTCGTGGCAATTTTTTTTTTCTTGGAACTTCCATTTCATGTGTTTCTCTTTTGGGTCATCGAATTTCAACAGGATCTCCCAATTTTTCTATTTCATATTCTAGATCTAAAATGATCATCATAGTTCCCATTGGTCAGAACTCCCTCCCCTTTACCACTTTTTGGGCTATATGGTCACATAATCCACCTTCATCAATTAGGTTTTTTTTGTTTTTGTCTTTTTTTGAGACAGGGCACTCGGGTCTCAAGTCACCTGTGCTGTCCTAGAACTCTCAAAGTAGTCAAAAGTAACCTCCCACCTCTGTCTGCCAAGTGTCACAGTGTTATGCCATGCTGGAGAGAGAGCCCAGGGCCTCACACATGCTAGACAAGCACAGTACCAACTGAACCACATCCCCTACCTTGAGCACAGTTACTATAGAAGGAATCAGGACAGAAGACAGCTATGCACTCGGGTAACTTGCCTGAGGTGCCAGTCAACACAATAGGGTCTCAATGCTGCTTGTTTTGCAAATATTTCATTTTGCAAGAACGCAAAGTCAGAGTGAAGACTGTTAACAGCAGCTTCTGGGAAGCCTGCTTGACACTGTTTCTCCATGGAAAGAGAGCCAGCCAGGGCAGTGAACCTGACTGTTTTTGTCATCTCTTCTATGCTGGGTGATTTCTTTTTTTTTTTTTAATTTTAGGTGACAACCAGACTCCATTTTGTGCATCATTATATGCAGGTACTGGAAACTTCTAAAGCTAAAGCCCCAACAACCAAAAACCTGAGAAACTGACAGAAGTCTGCTGCAGACCAAACACTGGGTCAGTCAGGGCCAAGCTGTGGTGGTAGACCTTTTGAATAACCAAACTTCGAGCCTGATAGGAGGGAGGGAGGGAGAACGGTGACAGGAAATGGTCTCATGTGAGAAGAGGCTCTAGGAAGGACGCCTTCACTTGGCTTCACAGAATCCCCAAAGCAGCCCCAGCACTAGTTGGAGGTCAGGAGACCTCTGAATCCACAGGCTGGGCCAAGAGGCCACAAAGCTAACCTTTCAACTCTTCAGCTGGCCACTCCCAGCTACCAGACTAGACCTCACAGCTGGAAGACACTTTGTCAGGAACCAGCCTGGGACTCTCCGGTTCTAAGTCCCAGTTCATGCTGTCCCACTAAACCACACTGACCTTGGCCAAGTCCCTCTGTTTTCTGGCACTTAGTTTCCCATGTGTAATGCCAAGGACAGACCCAGAACTCATCCTCCTTCAAGATCCTCCATGATGGGGCTAGAGAGATGGCTCACCAGTTAAGTGTGTGTATTTCTCTCAAAGGGAACCCAAGCTTAGTTCTTAGCACCCACATCAGGTAACCCACAACCTCCTGTAACTCCAGCTCCAGAGGATCTGATGCCCCCTCTTCTGGCCTCTGCATGGACAACCACACGCACGCGCACTTAAAAATAATAACACTAAAATATTTCAAAGAAGAAAAGAAACCATAATTGAAAGAACGTTCCAGAGAGGGAGGATTTGCCATTGCAAGGACCTGAGGTAATCAAGCTCAATTAATGGCTGCTTGCCCATCGCCAGTCTTCCCTCTGTACTTGAATACAACACTGTCACCCAGGGGACCTCTGCACCCCATTACCCACTGTGACCTCAAGGCCTCATTCATACTTGATTCCTGGGTTCAGAGTGAATGGCTGTTTGTGATCCAGGTAGGGTAGTCAGGGCTGTCAACAAAACCATGTTTACTCTGGGCTCAGGCCACATTGGATAAGCTTCCTATCTCCATGTCTTTCTGTAACAATGGCTCTGGCTTCTTGGTTTGCTTTGTCTGCCCTCTCCAGTTTTCCTGGAAGGTGCACCCAGCCCCCCCGATAGAGCTAGGAAGAGTGTAAACACACTTGTCTAATCTTCCCCAATGTGACCATGTGGCACCCAGTGATGGCCCCACCCTTGGTAGATCCTGCTTCCTACATTCCTCTCAACAGGCGAACAGGAACTTAGCATCAGCACCTGTCCCAATGCCTATGCCTGGCAGTCACTGGGACAGAGAAGTGCCTGGCCTTTTCCAGCGGCCTGTCCTATTTCCCAGCCAGATCCCTGTAACGAGACCCTTGGGATGCATGTATGGTCTCTTCCCTCCAGAGCACTCTACACTCTGAGGATGCTCTTGAGCAGCAGAGGCAAAAAGTCCTGGATTTCAGCCTCATCTGAGCTGCTCAATTCAACTATGGGTTCCCCAAAGAAAGACGAAAATGTGTTTCCAACCCTAAAACATGATGTCACTTCCAAGTTCACATTCAAGAACTGTACAGTCAAGTAACAACAATAGCATCACATACAAAACAAGTCTCATAATATTTTGAGTAAGTTCAAACTTTTGTGTTGGGCCACATGAATTCTTAGCTATCCCAGGGTGTGTGCAGACCACAGGGTAGACGTGGCTCATAGGACATCTGGTTCCAGTTGTTGGCAAAGTCCAAGTAGAAGGTGCTTGTCATTTTATGAGCAATTGCCATGCTGACACAGGAGTGGAGGAAATGCTGTGGGCTGCCAAGCTGGGCATGGTCCAGCGCTAACCTGTAGCACCACCTTTGGCTTCCTGATACCAGTCCAGCTGTAACTGTTCCTATGGTCCCTGTCTCCTTCTGCTCCGAGGTGGTGGGTTTGGTGAGATGTGGAGACAAGCAAAGAACTTCAATGTGTGGCAGCTGCAAACCTCTGAAAGCCGCCTGTACCACTGAGCCTCTCTGTCTCCCCTTCTCAAGACTCTCAGCATCTATTCCCCATGCCACCCCAGGAAGACACTGCCCAAGCCCAGAAATCATGAATCTTGGTGCCTCTCTGCCTTACCTTACAGATCCTGGTAAGTTACATGCTGCAGATCTCAGTGCACCCTCCTCCAAAGAAAGAAATCAGGCCTGGGAAACATCAGTCATTCCCAACCAAGTGCTAATGCTGACTAGCAGGACATTCTGATGAAGAGGAACTATGTTGCTCAGGATTCTATGGCTTTATTCAGAGGTCATGGGTGCTGGGATCAACTGGTGATGTCAGCTTGGCACTCAGGATAGAGAGGGCAGACCAGGTGCCACCTACCTAACTCACAACCTACCTGCCACCAATAACCAGAGAACACATGTGTCCATAGGACACTCTGCCACTAGATTCTGTGAGATGTCATGAAGCAGAATTAACCAATGGGAAATTTGAGGACTCTCCAGTAGAAATCTGATCCAAGGAGACACATCGCCTCCCTTAAAGGATGGAAAACAGGAAGAGGACGTTGGGTCTCAGTCATGCCAGTGAAGGGCAGGTAAATTTTAAGATGAGAGATGTTCCAAGTGTTCAGGGCTTTTGAGATGACCTCAATACCCAGAGTCATCAAAAGACCACTGGATGCAGCCATCCCCTTTCCTGTGACACAGTAGCCATAGTGTAAGGCTGCCTCATCCGGAGCAAGAATCTAAAAAGAAGGGACCAGGTCCAGCCTCCAGCATCTCTGTACCAAAAGATGCTTGTGGGATGGGCCCTGGTAGGTGCTGACTCAGCCTGGGGTCTGCTTTCCACTGCCAGTTAGTTGATCTGTTTACTTTAGGCCCATGGCTCATCTCAGACATCTCGCTGTCGTGGGTGACCCTTTCACCAGCTTTCCTACACTGTAGACCTACGGTTCCCTTCTAAGGTCCCTTTCTCCTCCGATCCCTCTTGTATCCCATGCCAACAGTTCTCTCTGTTATTTGATTGCAGTGTCGCTCCACTCTTCTTTCACTTCAAAACAGCCCCCTGCCTCAGCCTGGGCTCTCTCCCTCCCCCTTCAGATGCTCCCAATGACAAGAAAGCTAGAGAGAGGGAAAGAGCCTTCTTGAGAACTTGAGAAGAGTTACTTCTTAAAATTGCCCCATCTCT